CATAAACTGATTACAGAAAAATTAAAATATAAAATGCTAAATATTTAAATAATATTTAAATATTTAATGTTATCTAGACTTCTTTCTTCATATTAATAATAATCTGCAATATCAACCATCAGAAAAATCCATGAGCACAAAATTTGTTTCAAGAATGGTCCAATTCACTACTTTTTAAAGATCTCATTCTTGGAATAGGATTGCTGAGTATCTATGATGCATTAAACTCTGGTTTACTTAGCTGTCAGCTTTGCTAAGGGATTACAGTAGCCACTGAGCACTATGGCATAAAAGTTTGATTGTAGAAAATAAGGCAAGCATATCATAATTAATTCATGACTGCAACAAACAATGTTTTCACATGTGTCATACCTGAAGCCAGTGCAGTGGGAGATGCAAGCAAAAGAAAGCGCAGCAGAACGCTGAAGTGACAGGGAATCATGATGAAACCAAAATGTTGTGTCCGAATAGTGTACTGATATTTCAAGCGAGGACTGAGAGCAAAGTTCTCCGTTTCAGCTGCTTCAGTTGGAGGAGGGGAGTGGAAGAGAAAGCTCTGAAACCCTGACACTGGCTCTGGCCACCAGATGGGCAGAGAGAGGGGCCGGGAAATCAGGTTCCAAATTCTGGTAGCACAAAACACACAGGATTGACAGGACTTCTCACTAACGGTTTGATGCCTATCCTGCCTTTTGACCTGTGGCGCTCGGAAGACGCTGCCAGTAACAGTAAAACAAAACATAAAACACTTAGAAATACAAAATTACGTTTTAAGTAAACCAGTACATAAAATCAAAAGGGAAAAAAAGCTTGAAACCACCAGAGCAGTCGGGTGAATCATTTCAAATAGTAAAAATGAAAGATGATCTGACTTAAATCGTTGATGGTGAAAGGGCAAAAATGAGAGGGCTAATAGGGCAGGGGTGTCCAAAGGGGGTGGTCAAAGAAGCCATGAGTGATGCTCATAAATAACCAGGCAGTGCTTCAATTACACCATGGTGGCTGCCATTTTGACTTTTTTGACCACGCTTTTTTTTTTTTTACTTTTGTGACCTGTGGATGCCCCTGAAGGAGGGAGTTCTGAACCTGGAAGCCACCCACTGAAAAAAACAAAGTACCTGGCAAACATACTTCAGATGTTGGCAGGAATGAGAGAAAGGATCTCTGAGCCTAGCTCAAACTTTTCCTCTCCATAAATGCTAGACCTCAATCCGCATAATACCCAGAGAGCTTGGTTAAAGGCTACATATACTTCACCTAGCCTATTTCACAGGATGGTCAAGATCAATTAAATCTTCTAGGGACACCATCTTGAACAATGGGAATAAAAGGCGATACAGATCTTAACGAGAAGGCCAATTGGATTTAATTGCTTTGTCCAGGAATGTGTTTCTGAAAAGTTGATCCCCCTTTTTTCAGGCCAGCAGATATTCAAATCAAATAAACTCCAAACTTCACCAATATTAGCATGTTTTTATGCCCTCCCAACAGCCGTTCTTGAGGACAAATATAAAAAGTTCCTTACAAGCTAAGACTGCCTTGCGCAGAAAGACTCATTCAACCCACGTGCTGTTATATGGGCCGTCTAGAAGGTGCAAGCGCCTGTTTCCTAACTCCCTGTTTGGTGAAGTACCCAGACCGTTCTGATTTATTTCATGTACAGCTAACTCCTGTCAAACCAGTGCAATTACACTTCTTTTGTGGGAAAATTATGTTAGTTTATAAAACTCAACACACCTTGAACATCTCATTAGTTTTTTTGTTTAATTTCATGTGAAATAGGAATTGTTCACTTTGTTAACTTGTAGAAGTCTGGCCAGTGAACATAATAAAGAACCCCCATTTTTACTACCAGTTCCAGGCTGAAATGTTTGATATTTTTATTTAAATATTTTCTCTCTCTCTCTCCTATCACGGACCACCTATCCAGCCAGTATAAAACCAATTATGTACAATATTTATTAACACCTTCAGGTACACAGCAGAATATAAAACGTTATGAACTAAAGAGGAATGTTTCATTTGTCATTTTTTACTGTTTTGCGCTGTATGTTTAACGGATCTTAATCAAAGAGATCAGAATGGCAGATGTGGATAATTCCCCCATGTGGAATTATCAATATCAAGCTAGCAAGGTCAGGGAGTTCCGCGGCTGAACAAGAAATTGCTCTCTCCATTTCTCCTTCAAGCACACATTCAGATTTTTACCTCATGTTAGTGCTGACTAGTGACAGAATTCTTGTGAAATGTTCTGACTTGTACATACCATTCAAACTCATCTGGAATGAAATTCTAGCTAAAAAAGGAACTAGAACATGAAATATGGACAAAACGAAAAACTAAAGCACAATATCACATTACTCAAAAACAGAAACCTGCATGTGTTGCAAGGAAGTGCTGTTAAGAGAGCAAATGAATTGTTAAGTTCAACCGTAGCAGCAGACTGGTGAAGAACCAAGTCACAATCTATGTACCAACTGATTTTCATACATGCTTTGCCACTGAATTAAGCATGGTAACTCAGCATCATTTGTGCCCAACAAATTGGTGTGGATTGTGGTATCATAGGTATTCTTAGGGAACTAGCAGGATACTTGCTGATTTTAATAACACTGTCCTGAAACCCAGGAGAGACCGCTTCACACCGAGGACCATAGTACATCTCACTAATTTTGTACGTTCGAAGTGTTGTGTGGTATTCTTTCAGCAGAGAATTTCATGCTGTAGACTTAAAAAAATTAAAACATTAAACCTCTAAACTTTCAATTTCATGAATTTAGTAGATAATACTAGAGGTAAAGAAAATTCCATAGTTTTATGATTTTAAGTGTAATGTGCCCACAAATATCTGTGAAAATTGAATGCTTTCCAAGACACAATATTATAATTTTATTCTAAGGACAACCTGGATTTTTGTTAAAAACATTTACGTTTAAAATGGATTCTAGAAAAAGAAGACTTAGTGCAACAAGTCAGTATGAAGTGTAATGATGATTAGTGTAAATATGTAAAAACTATCAGTCTCATTTGGGGTTGCCAGATTATCTGAAGGAAGGCTGCCTTTGGGGGAACATGTGTTCCTCACCTGGATGTAGGCTGTCCAAAGCAGAGAGTACATTTTTCTGTCTGTGCATGCCACAAAATAGCGGTATGGTTTATCACATGCACAAGAAAGTTTTGTCAGAATTGTAAAAATATGTTGAAAATGGAAAGTACTTTTGTACTTCAGATACCCAAAAAGAAGTGAATTCAGCTTCAAATTTAGCCGTTTTTCTCAAGCTGTAATATCATATGCATTTACTTCAGAGAAAACTTGCTATGACCACATATAACAAACGCCCTTGCCAAAAAGAGATGTATTGCAATTTTATAGATGAACAGTACATATAAAACTTTATCTCAAAGTATTATTGTCAGTGAAATATAGGACACAGTCAAGCATATTGTTTGTTGCTTCGCAAAAAGAATTAAAATCATATGACAGTACAAACTCCATTCCATTAAAGTTAATTCCACAGTACATTTTTTGAACTTAAAGATGTTGTGTTGCTTTTGTTGCTTAACTGATTGGAAAGTCTGCACATTTTGGAATGGGGGAAAATATTTGTCAAATAAGACGACAGCTGCTTTTGAACCTGAGGTGATAATGGCAGTGGGTTGCTTGGCTGGCCCAGTAATAGCTGCCTAACAAAATTATGCATATGTACAAGATGTGAGGAAAGAATGTCTGCAAAACAGAAAGAGGAAGCATGACTTGCAGAGTTATGAAAATTTGGAAATGTAACAATGACATACTGGCTTTTTTTCCTGCTGAGATGTTGCAGAAATGGCTGCAGAAGCCTACAGACCATATATTTTCCCCGTTTTATCTGATAAATTAGATATTTTTAGATAATTGGATCTTCTATGGCTATTTTTATTTTAATTTTTAAAAATAGCCACTTTGTGGGGGAGGGTCTGAAGGGGATCCAAGAACTTTTATCCCAATTAAAATAGCCTCCTCAAACTTTTTATTTGAATTCCCCACAAAACAAGCAAACGAACAAGCAAACTTGAGAGATGGAGGTCTTCCATCTGGAAAAGAACATGGGTGTGGGAGGATCCCCATTTTCCTGAATGCTGTGGTGCTTTATGGAATCCCTCCATAGCAACGTCTTTCAGGCAACCTGCATCATAACTAGTTTGGCTTTGATGTAAGTGCTGGTAGAAGACACAGGAACATATTAAACATAAAGTTACACACATATCAGATATTTTTTTCTTAATCTTCTGAAACTGAAGCCTCAGTATTAGTGGTCAGAAAGAAAATCAATGTGACCAAGTTATAAGATTATTTTCACGTTCAGTATCTAGGACTACAACATAATCCAACTGGGTTTATGCAAGTGATAACTGCCCTTAATAGACAACTTTGTGATGCGGATTTGTTGACTTTGTTAGATATAATAATTTCATTCTATTTGTTCTGGCTGCTTAATCTACAAGAAACTCATTTACATGATATTTACCAATTAAGCTAAGGCTTGAGTATGTTTATAAATTCCTGTATTATTTAGCAGCATTTTCTTCCAGGTTAGATATCCTGGTCTTAGCTGGAAATACAGCCAGTCTGCATCTCACAAGAGTCCTCATCTCATTTTTCCATTACAAATCATTTCTCAGCATATACTTCCACAATTTTTATCCAGATTTTTCTGGAGCTAGTTATCCCATGGTAGTGATTCCCATTCTAGTGCCTTGCTGAGGTACTAGCTAGACTATAAACCTAAGCACTCCGGATAGCATAGAGTTCATCGAAATTGGAAATGGTTAGGTTGGAAGATGGCCAGGTTAGATAACCATTGCTTTGTCTTCTCTGTCTTAACCAGATGTTAATTTTAATTTCAATTAGATGAACATAAAGTTTTCTAAAAACAATGATGTTGGATAGGCTCTAAAAGGCCTATGCATCTATAGGTTACGGATCCCTTGTTAGAACTCTACTCTGTCAATTGTTTTAAGCTGGCAATACATACCTTGTTCTCTTTTTCAAAAGTGAAGTTTTACAATGGAAAACTGGAAACAAAGATTAGGCTTTGACAGATTAAGATTGTAAAACAGGTGATTTGGGGGAAAAGGGGAGAAGATGCTCTTGAAACACTGCTTTAGGAATAGAGACTGAGATTTTTCTTGTTCTGCACCCATTTTGGATGCAATTGGATTCACTGCACCAATTCAACACCTTCTGGTGCCAAGAAACAAAAGAAAACAAAAAGAACACACACACACACACACACACACACACACTTCATTATGTTCAGACCAACCAACAAGTAATGCTTAAATTTATTCAACGTTTCATACATACAATAAGGATACTAGATTCTGTAGTAGTAATTTACATCAGCAGTAGAAAATTGAAACGTTGGCTATAGATTAAAGTGCAATGATACATGTACAACCACATGAAATGACACTGGCAAGTATAAAGTAAACAGAGTCAGGATTTGATAGGAGAGCCTTCTGCAGAGTTTTACTTCCCTGCAGTAGCTCTTTACAGAAGCCAAAGATAACCAGCCATTTTATACATGTCATGTTAAAAAGTCACTTATTGTTTTGCAACTTTCCCAAGCTGAAGCCACTGGCAGATGGAGGAAGTGATAAGCCCTATGTATGTACATCAGCATGACATCCTTCCTTCTGTTGTGAATAAAAGAGTTTCTTTTTCTCTTGTTGTAACACCCATATTTACAAAATAAGTTATAAAGAATATTGCTAGTAGATTAGCAGAACAGAACCAATAGTGACTTGGCTGGTACAGTCCTGTTTTCCGAGAAGGTTCAGAGAGAGAAAGATCGTTTTATGCTGAAAGTGTATTAAGAACACCTTGGAAAGGCTACACATTGCTGCCTTTTAAAAAACTGAAATGCAAAGGCATCTCTAGGAGCTGGAAGAGTATAAATACATATTTTTACATTAATACATAACACACATATATAAACAGACATACAAAAATAGTATCTTGGGGTACTGACCAGAGTCAGTTGCAGCTGATGGCAACTTTGGCCCAGAACTATTCTGGCATTTAGAACAACCAGCAATGAGAAGCGGTTATATTTCCAGAGCCAAAATCCAAACAAACCTGTTCGAGTTCCACTGCTTTCATAAATGCTGAAAGTCAAACAGTGATTTCCACAAAACACCAGCATGAGCTGTAAATTAATTCAGATGTATTGGTGAATCCAGCATGGTTTAAATGTGGGTTTTAAGTAGTTCTTCCTTTGGCAAGACAGATTTAGAAACCATTTTCTTAGAAGAAATTGTTTGTACAATATTACTTACTCTATTTCACACAAAGGAAGTAAAATACTTAAGAATTTCTTTTTTTAAAAAAATTATAACAGGTTTTTTTCATGTTGTGTGGTGCCTTTAATTTTACAATAAACTTTAAGCAGCAATGGGGTTTCAGTCATACAGAGAATTAGAAATTTTTCATTGAACAGCTTTCGGCCTAACTGCAAGGGCAGAAGACAATTTTGTATTGTGGTATCATCTGAAGTAATACAAAATGGATTTCAGTGTTTTTACTCCATTGTTTACAAAGTAAGATTTGTATGACCAAATAACTACTAAATGGTCCTAATTCCATAAATAATTATAATTGGTCATAAAATTTGGTTCAGTGCTAAAAATACCTCCGATTATTATCATTTTTTACCATGGCAAATGGAAATGCCACAGAAAATGAAGTCAGAAAATAATTACTACATCAAATAGCAAATACCCAATGCTGTGATTTCCTGCACATTATATTTTGACCCCAAATGGCTTTTATTCATTTATTTATGAGGATCAAGTTTTTCAGTTGTTGTTTTCTACATACTGTATTCATTGAATAATTATTGTTTTAACTAGTCAGATTTACACAATGGAAACTACTGGCTGCTTTGTAATATTCTTCCCAAGTTATCCACGACAAGGTCCATTTTATTCTGGAAGAGTGATAAGTCTCTGTAATGCAGCTTCCACAAGTGTTATTTCCACTAATCCATTACCAATGTATTCAGTTTCTTCAAGAATGCTCACTAAACCATCATTAAACACAAGAGGAGCAACTGAGAGGTGAGCCATTATGATGCTTCTTTACTTCTTTAAAATCTCATCTTTGCATTGGCAGTTTTAAATCTTCAGAAGAGTTGTGATGGAGCTTTTAATTTAACCTTTAGTATCTGAGAAGCTGGTGCTACTGATGTTGCAACTTTCACTGTAACTTGAAGATGAACTCAGCGTACTTGAACCGGCTACAGACTCTGGATAAAATGCATATATATTAACAGGGCATTATACATTGAGGTTTATGTGTATTTCTAAATTGCTTATTAAAATATTCCCTAAATGATGTGTAAAAAAAACCCCTCCCACAAGATAAAATTTAAACCATTTCTGTAAAACAATACAGATACAAATATCTGTATAATAATCAAGAGGGAACAACATCCCACATAAGGGGAAGGGGACACCTAAGCAAACTTACCTGAGCTGCTGAGAGAGAGAGCAGATTTGGAGTTACCAAGTAATGGCAGCAAAATGTTGATGGGGACCCAACCTTCTTTGTTCGTGCTCAGATTCCTCAGGTACCTAAGAAATACCCTTTTGCTGTCAAACTGTTTGAAAAACCAAGCATCTACAAGAAATCAAAACATTATGTCTAATCTAGAAGCAATATAACCATTCCTTGTTTAGATATACAGTCAGGTCCAGAAATATTGGGACATCGACACAATTCTAACATCTTTGGCTCTATACACCACCACAATGGATTT